ATGTCCCCTCCGCGGCTGGGCGGAGGGTGACCCTGCTCTGACACCGCCTTGCCACCCTCCAGGCCTCTACGAGGGCTTTGAGGGGCTGCAAGCTGAGGAGTGCGGGATCCTCAACGGCTGTGAGAACGGGCGCTGCGTGCGTGTCCGGGAGGGCTACACCTGCGACTGCTTTGACGGCTTCCAGCTGGACATGACCCGCATGGCCTGTGTGGGTGAGTGGTGGCCGGGGGGGCTGCCGGGCGCTGCAGCCGGGGCTCCGCGGGCAGCCTGGCCCCCGCATCCCTTGGCGGCTGCCGCTCTCTGGCGGTGCTGGCCGGGAGGGCTCCGCTCTCCCTGGTGCTTCCTTCCCACAGAGCTGGGAGGACCCTCCTGGAGGTTCAGCCGGCCGCTTTCTGCTGGCAGCTAGATCAGGGCACCTTTGGGCATCGCGGGGAGCAGCTGATCGCTCCCTTCTTCACATAACACCCTTGTACATCACCAGCCATTGTCTAGCCCTGATTAATTTCCTCTACATTCACCACTGCACTGGTGAAATTCCTCACTTTTCACCCTGCCCTATGAGACACAGTCTCTAAAACTTCTCTCTGCATTTCCTCTACGTCCCTATCTCACGTCTCCATCCTTTTCACAGTGCAGCTCCCCAAGCCAGATGAGACCTCAGGCACTGAACAGAGCAGATGAAGACCCTCTTTTTCCTTAGGCATGGCACTTACTTCAGCTCCCAGCACCCTTATTGCACGGCACAATCGTGCAGCTTCTTCGTATAGAACCCACGGTCTCTGCCTCCCCAAATGCTGCCAGGCAGAACAGCTGTCTGAGCTGTTACTCCCCCTTCTGCACTTGTGCACTCTGTTTGTCTTTCCTTGGTCACAGTGCTTTGCATTTGCCTTTGGTGAATTTTGTCTGGTTGATTTTGGACTGCTTCTGTGCTTGATCAGAATGAGTCTGAATGCTGCAAAATGCTTGCAGCCTGGCATCACACACATACGTTTTATAAGCATAGGGATTCTTCCTTTGTCTACTTTAATGACAATGTGTGGATGGAGTAGGGGTCTGGACAGACCCCTGCAAGCTATGCTTTAAGTGACTTTTATTGTAACAGCCAGGTATTGCTAATTATCTTTGGAGTGCAGCTTTGCAGACTATTGTGCAATTGTTGCAGTTTCATCTGGACCATATTTTCTCAGTCTGTTTGAGTATGTCATGTGAGAGTGTGTTGAAATCCTCCCCCTGGCCAAGGCACATTATATCCACTGCTTCTCCCTTATCTGACAGACCAGTTATCAGGTCAGCAAAGGGAACCAGATTGGCTTAATGTAATCAGGCCTTAACAGATCTGCACCAGCTATTTAATGACCCTGATGATATCCTTTGAAGGGTTATGACCTAATCACTCACGAACCTGGTCTACTTAAGGGAATGGGGGTGAGCAGTCTGTTATTCTGGATTCTCCCTTCTCTGTTTTTGAAGATAGTTACCGCAGTTACTCTTCTTTGGGTGTCTGAGACCTCCTTTATCCTCCATCTCAGAGAGAACTGCCAACTTTTCAGGGACTGCAGGAGCATTAAGCATGTGAAGCTGACTTGCAGCAAGCCTTTAGCAATATGGATATAACTGCTTTATCTAGCTAATTGTCAAACCTCTCCATCACAGCACGGTCTTTCCCTCCCTGTGCTCCAGCACCTTCGTTTAAACATTTCAAACGTGGTCTGCACCCTGTCTGGTCACCACGAGAATTTTTATGATGGCTGGAACAAAGCCCACCTTAGCTGCTCCAGCCAGCTTGGCTGGCTTTTGTTTCCTCCACTGATAAGGACCAGACTGACATTCACCATTGTTTCCTGCTAACATATTTATGGAGCCTTAGCTTGTTGCCTTTCGTGTCCTGGACTAACTAGCACTCATTTTACACCGGAGCCTGTCTTGGTTTTTCTAATGTTCAGTTCTCCTGCTTGGTGTTAGTCAGCCCTGCGTTTTTTACCTTGCTGACTTCAGGCTTTTAGACTACTGCTGCAGTGCTTCCCCCCTCACCTCCCTGTGGGGGGTATCTTGCCCTCACCCTGCAAGATGGGCTGCCTGCCCCCACCCCTGCCTGAGCAGGCAGGCTCCAGGGCTTGGTGCGCACTGCTAGTGCTACCCTACCACTTCTGGCATTTGGGTGCCTCTGGGTTCTCCCCTCAACTTAGTGGACCATGGCCAGACCAACCTGACTGCTTTTCCCCCTTTTACCTTGCTGGAGCCCCCAGCAAGGATGCCTCCACCCCTGCTTCCCAGGCTGTGGAGCACATCTCCCTTGGTGTGCTGCCTAACATCTCTTCCTTGGGCTTCTGAGCAAGCCCATCCCAACCATGACAATGTTTTGGTCCTGAGGTTTAGCCCAAGTCCACAGTGCCCTGTCAACCATTGCTTTGGCCTCGTATGAAGGCTGCCTTACTCCTCAAGCTCCCTTATCTCACATTTCTCCTCTTCTTCTTCCTCATGCGACTGCTGTGCTTCCTTCCACTGCACCTGAAGGTTTTGCCTCCAGCCTCCCTCCCTGGGGTTGCACTTCCCTTTCTTTGCCAGATGGCCGCCTCCACTTGTGCTAGGAATAACCCCAGGTCCCCAGGGCAGCTGAACTCTTCAGTCCTCCTGGGGTCCATCAGTCACTGCTGGGGCCTTCACTCTCCCTTCAGTGGCCAGCTGAACCCATCAGCTGCTCTCCACTCTTGCTCCCTGACGATCTGTGGGGGATGAGGCTAGATTTAGTGGTCAGAAGGCTTGGACCTGCCTTGGCAGGTAAGGATTTGGGCTCTAGAGGTCCTGTGGGTGCAAACAAGGTCTCTGGTGTGCACAGGGATGCTCTGCTCAGCTGGTGGCCCCATCACAAGTTGGGGTAGCTCAGGCAGGGTGACCAGGGAAGTGCTTATAGCAGAGCAGACCCGTCACAGCCGGGCAGCCGCTGTCGGGCTCGTGTGCATGCTCTATCCCAGCAGCGAGCCGTCCAAGTGAGCCCTTTGGCACAGTTTGCAGGTTAATAAAACAAGACTTGTTTGCGCAGCGTGAGGTCCCTCTGTGTTCTGGTCCTGGAGGTGATAATCAGCCTCCCAGGGCCACCATCATCTGCCTCCTCAGCCTTGTCAGATCCTGAAAGGGCATTTTCCAAGGCTGGAGGTGGCCTTTCTCCCAGATCTTACTCTAGCACAACTTATTAACAAGAAGCTGCTAAACTGGGGTGTCACCAGCTGCAGAGCATGGGGGTGGCCTTATCTGTTGTGCATTGCTGAGGAATGCCAAATGCTAGGGATGTCGCCCTTGGGGACAGAGGGTGCTCTGCAGATATGCTGAGGGGTGTGGGAGTCTGGTGGGGTCACGGTGGGCATCTTGGCAGGGCATGGGGCACCTGTGGGGGAGGGCTGGGAGGTGGCAGAAGGAGATGTTGGCTGCGGGCTGGGACTGCTCGCTGTGCCACCAGTTCACCCCTGTCCTCCTCCTTGCAGACATCAATGAGTGTGAGGAGGTGGAGAGCCCTGAGCCCCTGTGCCGGGGCGGCACCTGCGAGAACACGGAGGGCTCCTACCGCTGCCACTGCTTGCCAGGCTACGTGGCCCTGGCCCGGCCCCACCACTGCGTGCCCCAGACAGCCCAGAGCCCAGCGGCAGCGTAGCTCTAGGGGAGCGGGGGTGAAGGCGCTCCCCTCCGGCTCGTGGCTCAGGCACCCAGGACCTGGGAGCACAGAGAAAGGCCCCCCCCGGGGTTGTGGGTGCTTCGAGGCTCTTCGCTCCTTCCCCTCCGAAGCACACAACTTCCCCGCCACCTCTCTCTACAGGCCAGGGCTGAGCTCCCAGCCTCTGCCTCCCCCTCCGCCCTGCCAGCCCCTGCTCCTTCTGCAGCAGAGCCCACCCCAGCCCCCAGCACCTGTTGCATCACCCTGTGCCGTGGAACCTCACGGGATGCCTTCTCCTACCACGTAGCCCCAGCCTCCCCTCCCTCACCCTGCCAAGAAAGGGGGGGTTCATCTCCCTGCCACTGCTGCACTGACCTAGCAACAAGCCTCACCCACGCTGCGGGTGTTGGCCCCACTCCTTGTGAAGCATCCAGCCTCCAGGCCAGAGCTTTGAGGGGGGGGGGGGAGGTTTCAACCTCAGCTTTCTAAAGCTGCTGCCTAACCTCGGAGCGTGGGGGGAGGCCGGAGGGGCCCCAGGGCCAGCTCTCCCTGCAGCCAGCCCAGGTGCATCCCTTAGCCCCACACTGGCTGGGCAGGGGGGGCAGGGCCAAGTCCAGCTTCCTTTCTGTAAAGTTGTTGGTGATTTTTTTTTTTTTTTTTTAACCAAGTCTGCTGGAAACTTTTCTCATGTTGTTAAATAAAACATTTATTTTGGGCCCCTGGGGCTCAAGACACTGGGGCTGGTTAGAACTGTGCTTGTCTTGCTTCTGCCAAGGGGTACCAGACCCAGGTGCTCCCTATGGGTCCAGCCTGGCAGAGCTACCCCACTCTCCTAAGCCAATTCTTACTCCTCTCGCACTAGCACCCAGCCTTCCCCTGAGCAGACCATTGCCAGGCCAAATATTTGCTTATCTCCCAAGCGCAGTGCCAGCCCCAAGAGCCAACTCCAGCCCCCAGAGCAACTGTGGCTGCACACCCCCTGCCTAGTTCACGCATGGGTGGCTGTAGTTTAAGCATGAGAGCACGTAGGTTTTGGCAGTTGGTAAGAACCCTTGGGCAGGTCTGGGAGCTGCTTTTCCAGCCCCAGAACCCTGACTAGAAACACCTTTACTTGTCCTGCAGCAAGCAAGGCCATGTTCTGCACCACCACCTCAGGGAGCCTTTGCATAATTTCAGACCAGCACGGGACTGGCAAGGCAGGACACCAGCAGATGCCTGGCTGCTTGCAGGTCACCCCCACTCAGATCAGCATCCTGCCCTTCTGCTGAGAAATAAGACCAGTCCTACCCCAACTAAATGCCCAGCCACTCTACGCCTCCTTCTGCTCCTTTTCCTTCACATGAGACAACACAAGCAGCTTTTGTCTAGCCTTTATTAAAAGAAAAGTTATAAAAAGAGGTTCAGGAGATCCCAGCAGCTCTGAGTTAGTAGTAGCAAACCATTGGTTAGAGAAAGAATCATCCCTGCAGAAACATCAAACGCCATTTGGCTTTGCATCCACAAAAAAAGAAGTTTTCCCAGCTGCAGTCTTGCCAGCTTGAGCAGGAGCCCAGGACAGAGCAGGCTGTCAGCTCTGGGAAACCCTCCTCTTGTTGCTTCTCCTTCAGCTGCCTGGATAGCAAACGCAGGTGCCAGGGGTGTCCCGGTCGCAATGCAGCAGGAGAAGCGCAGGAGGGCGTATGCAGCTGGCATTCTAGAAGAGGCACTGAAGGATTACCAGGTAGCAGCTCAGACACTAGCCAGGTTCATCGCAGAGGAAGTCCTTTGTGAGGACAGACAGCTCCATTTCAAATAACTAAATCGCCTCCGCAGAGCAGCTGGAGGATGATGCCCAGTCAGTCCTGCTCCCGCTTGAGCTGCTGTGAGAACATCCCAGGGGGCTCTTAAACAGGCTAAGAGCCCTCTGCCCACAGCTGACCTTGCAGGAACACAGCACTAGCTGCTCAGAGGCTGCTGAGCTCTGAAGGAAGCAGTAAGAAATGCTTTATTATATAAAAGAATTTGGCCAGTGTTCACTTGTTTTTCCCCGCTCCCTAAGCCCCACTAATGGCAGGGATCCTCAGCTGGTGATTTGCACTGGTATCTTCCAGCAGAACAACATCTGGTCCTGGTCATCCACCAGCTCCCACTTCACAATCAATTTAATCTGAAAGAGAGAAGAGCAGAGGGAAGTGAGAATGTTCAGGAAACCATAAGGCAAGGACATAGGGAAGGGAGTTATCACTGGTGTGGAACAAGGAGGTCCTGGGAGCCCTGAGCAAAGAGGACAGAGCTGGGATGTTGCCCCCCACTGCAGTGGAGTATCTCACATGGGTGGAGGGTTCTGTTGCATGACACAGGAGACCTCCACACACTGCACTCGAATCCCCACTCTCTGAGTGAGGAGGGAGCGGAAACACCCTGCAGCCAGGACTGAGCACCCCCAGTTCAGGAGTATCTGGCTGAATGCAGCAGGCTCTGCAGGGAGGCACAAAACAGGAGGACACTTGGGCAGCTGAAGCCACGTCTCAGCAGCTGGAGCCAGGACACTTCCTCTGCTTGGCCTGTCCCAAAGTAGGAACTTGAGTCAGAGTCATACACACAGCAGAAGTGCTACCAGATAGCACAAGGAGTCTTTTAACCTTTCCTCCACCACCACAGGACAAGCTGTCATTCCTTGGAGGCGGGTGGTGGGACTGTCCCAGGAAGGACAGTAGCTCTGAGGATCAGACCAGCTGCCTGCTTACTTACACTGGGGTACTCGTTCTTCACTGGGAGTTTATTCAGGTAGCTGTAGGAACGGCCCTTCTGAATGGGGCACTGGATCCCAGACTTGCATCCATCAGGCTCAGGAATGGGAAAGGGTATGTCCACATGCAGCATCTCGCCATACACCCTCGCTTTGCTGCCCTGGCTCTCAATCTCTGCAGAACACAGAAAAGCATGAGCACGACACCGGAGCAGGGAACACGTTTCTACCTTACACTGTCCTTTCCACATGCCCTGGAGGCTACAAGAACAAAACTAAGGGCTGCTATTCCTCCCCGGCCACTTCTTCCCACCCAGACCCCCCTCCAGCCACCCTTCACCTCTCCTCTCCAAGCAGCGGGACACAGAGGTGATCGCCCCCCCCCCCCCCCCCCGGCATCCCAGCTAGGGAAGCGAAAGCGGTGCTTACTGCTGGCGAAGGTGACGTTGATGCTGTAGGATGTGCCCTTATGGAGCAGGCAGGGCTGCGTGGGGCAGGGGCTCACGTTCACCTCCTGGATGCTGCCGTCTTTGGAACCTGCACGGAAGAGCCGGGGTTACCGGGCCTTTCTCCGCCTGCTGACCCCCCTCCCCACCCCCCCCGGCGCCACTCACCGCAGTCGACGAAGCGGAGGGGCTCGGCCAGGGCGGTGGCGGCGGCGCCCAGCGCCAGGAGCAGGGCGAGCGGGGACGGCACCATGGCGGCGGCGGCGGGACCGGGACCGGGACCGGGACCGGCGGCTCCTCCGCGGCGTCACATGAGCGCGGCGGCCCCGCCTGAGGGGCCGGGCCGGGGCGGGGGCTCGGCCGGGGGCTGCCCCTTCCCCCGCCCCGGGGGCGGCAGCCTGGGGACGGGCTGGTAGGACAGCGCTTGGGCGGGCAGACAGACAGACAGACAGACAGACGTTCTCTCCAATAGCGCTAATCCCCGCCCGCTCCTGGGCTACACCGGCGCATCCAGAGCCCCGGGGCAGCAGCGGGAGGAGGCGCTCACACGCAGCCAGTGCGATGGGCTGGGAAGCTCTCCCTGCTCTGCTGAAAGGGGAAAAAAAATAAAAACCAAGAAGCTAAGGTAGAAGACCAGCCTGTGGCCTTATTTGTTATTTATTTCACACCCCGTGTTCTGCATGTCAAAACTCGACTGCCAGGAGTTACATCGGCTAAGCAGTCGGCGTGGTTGCTGCCTTTCACTGAGCGCGCACAAGTTAGCCCCGCTTCGCAAACTTGTGAAACGCCAGAGGCTCCCAGCTTTGTGCTTGTGGCTGCCAAGACAAACCAGAGGATGATTAAAACGCTTTCAGAAAGCGTTTGGCCCATGCGGAAGTTCACAGCTGTTCACCAGTTTCACGCGGTAGCAAGTGTTACCCGTACCGGGGCCGTGCCGGGAACACAGCGCAGAGGAAGGCACCGTGGCCCTGGCTCGGCAGGGCTGAGGCAGCGTCCCCGCTTCAGAGCTCTGCGCCAGCGAGGTGGCTGCCCACTCAGCCCCCACGGCCCTGCCGAGTGACCCAGCGGTGAAACCCCCACGCTCTGCTCAGGCTCTCCACAAAGGGTAGCACACCAGCAACCCCCCCTGTTGCCTTTTTTTTTTTTTTTTTTTTTTTTTTTTAAAGATTCCAAAGAGCCATTTGGCTTGCTGAGGCCTCAGGCAAGCAGACCAGTGTGCTTAAAGCAGCCCTATTTAAACAAAAACAACACCAAAAGACCCTGTTGAGACTAAACCATATATTTAAGGCTCCCTAGCACACTTCATAACCGACCCAGATAAAGACTTCTTGTTGTGCATGGGAATTCATGCCCTTAAAAACGCTTTCCTTCTCCCCATCCCTTGAGTCCTACAGTTGATAAACAAAGCTGCCTATCTGACTGCCAGGAACAGAAGCGCAGTCAGGTCAGAGCAACACCATAAACTACCATCACACATTCACAACATAAGCAGTGTCATGCTTGGGAGCAAATTCCACAATGCATTAAATCAGGATGCCTCCCTGTGAAACAGCTCACCAGATGTTTTTGCTTCACTGATTCTTTTACACAGGGGCAGTGACTACATACATCCAAGTCTACACATAGTTCAAAGGCTTTGAAGTAAAAGTCATTGAATCTAGGATCAGAATTAACACATGTATATTCCCCCTCAGAACTGGATTAATAAAAAGCCTAATAACTTTAAGTCTGCAAAACTACAGCTGAGGCCTTTACACAAGAAACAAGCAGAAACCTTCTGCACAAGGTTCTTAGCTAGTATCACACGTTATCATCATGCCAGTTTTGCAATAAGAGCACATAAACTTTAGATTCTCCAGAGCAGCATAAGCATGACAGGCCAAACAGACCTTGCTTTTAGGCACATGCCCCTTGTGACATTGGATGAAAGATGTGGGCTTCCAGATCACCTTGGAGCCCAACATTTCACCAAAGTACTTCAGAAAGATTCCATTCAATTCTAGGCTGGTCTCACTATTTTGCAGACAGGGCTCCTCACAGATTATCAACATCACAGGGAACTTGTGCTGAGGTGCAGAAACACCAAGAGAAAAGGCTAAGAAAGCTAACAGTTAAATTCTTTCCAGCAAGATTGATACTTGAGTTCTTAATTTCTGTAATCCAACCAACTCTATTACATGAGGAAAAAGTCTAAGGTTTCACTTTATGAGCTAGCTACACCTGATGAATCCAAATCCCTCTAACAGCATTGTACTTGCAGCTCAGTAAACACATGCACCTGCAGGCACTGCAGCAGCAGTGAATACAGAAGTCAGGTTCTCAAGAAAATCCACATACAGAGACTAATCAATTTTACTGTTCTTTCAGCCAGAACCTGCTCTTTTTGCTACAGATCAGAATTCACATTGAAATACATCATAAGCCACTCTCACATTCAACACTGCACCAGAGGTTTTATTATCACCAGTTTTTGAAGTACTGAAACAAGCTCAGTTTTCCACCAAAACAGATAAAAGATGATTTAAGCATACACATTGCAGAGGAGAATAGAGCAAAATGTCTAGATAGTTTAACTCATGGATGACTCTCTACAACACAGTGCTTAAATACAGGGGCTCCCCAAACCCAGAGACCAGACTAAGGCAAAACTAAAACACAATTGATCCTAAAACCAGATTACATCAAGATATCAGAAACAAGATGACCATCAAAATCACAGCCCAGGAAGGAAGGAAGAAGACCGAGACCATAATTCTGAGCTAAAGAAAAATACCAGCATACCACACAGCTGGTAGAAGGAAAAAGCAGCTGGTACAAAGAAGTAGCCAGTCTCCTTACTTACACCCACCTCTCCTAGCTGCTCAAAAAAATTTGCCCCCAGCACCTGAGTCACTCCTCAGTGTAGTAGATTATTAATTAGGTTAAATTAACTCTGAGTGAAGCCAGCTGGCCTCTTTTTAATTCTTTCAGACTGCAGTAACCATCTGAGCGACATCCCAAATTGCCTTGAAGGTACTTGTCACACTTCTGACACTTAACACTGGTGAAAATGAAGGCAATTAGAAAGTAAGAGTATTTTTTGGGGCTTTATCCGTTCTCCAAAAGGTGTTAACAGTGAATGTAGTCACAACATGGGGAAATGCAGTGGGATTGGTCTAATACACCCTGCAGGAGAGAGAAGAAAGCCAATGTGGTATGGAAAGTAGGCATGATCTCCTGCCTTTTCTCCCAGTTCTTGATTCACTCCTCTAAAGGTATCTACTTTTGGGATGCCATATTGATAATAACTGGAGAAACACCCCAATATGTTTTTTTTGTTGTTGGTTTTTTTTTTTTTTTTTTTTTAAATCATTAAGTGTTCCAATATGCCTGGTGATGATTCATCGACCATTGCAGATACCTGCATTAATATCATCCCCCCTGGGACCCTCTCTGTGATACTTTCCTGGCTTTATCCTAACATCGTTAGAGTTAACCCAAGAGCAAGCAAAGGTAAATAGCTCAGACCAGTCTCTATTTACATGCTCATGGTGGGACAAATAAGCAAAAGCACGTGGTTGCAAAAGCATTGCCTTGCTTGGAGTGCAGCAGCGAGAACTGTCACAGGGTCCCGAGGTGCCTTGATGTTAAATCACCCCCTCCTGCTGGGATGACTGGTTTTCCTCTGCCATCCCACTGTGTGACTCTCCACAGGCCGGTCCAGGGGTGAGGAACCGGATTTCTCCTCCAGAAGCACATGAGGAAAAAAGAGATAAAGATTCTTTTCACTCTGGGCGCAGCTGTGAGCGACCGGCCAGACCGCTGTCACATGCCAGAGGATGGGGAGGCGGTGAAACCACCGAGGGAAAGGTACCTCGGGCAGATACGGGGGAGGCCGCCGGGCCTGCCCGGTGCCGGTGCCGGTGCCGTGGGGCCCTGCGCCGGCAGGAGGGAAGCAAGGAGCAGAGGGGAGAGATGGCCGGGGGGTGCAGGAGGCCGAGCACCATCTGCAGCACCAGGGCCATAGACGCCTGCCTGAAGGAAAACCGGCCCCTGCAGGGATTTCTGAGCAGAGCCCTCACCTGATAAAGGTGAGCAAGCCAGAAAAGCCAGGATCAGGGAAAATCCCTAAAACCCCTTCAGCCCAGCGCCGCGCTTGCTCCTCTACTCCCCTAACTCCCCCTGAGACAGCACCCTGATCCCTCGCCGGGCCTCGGGGTTCTGTTTGGGATAAACCACCCTCACAGCTAATTCCAGGGTAAACAGACTCCGCTGGGGAGCCCTACGTTATTGGCTTTACTACTCTTTATTGTTTTATGGCTGTTTATTTCCCTCTGTCAGCACCACCACTTGTGATATTTCCCTCTGTCAGCACCACCACTTGTGAAAGCAAACACCCCCAAGGATGAACGGCAGCTTCGGGCCGTTTGTGCAAAGCTCCAGAGGCGTCGGCAGCTTTACAGAGCCAGCAGCCGAGCTCTGCTCGCGGAGGGACGCGGCCTCCGGGGACACACCGGGCCGGAGCGCCCCGCATGGGGCTATGACGGCGGCCCTCAGCCCGGGCGGGCGGGCAGCGTGTTGCCTAGCAACCCGCCCCGGTTCTGCACTTCCGCCTTGCCGGGCGCCATGACGGCTCTCGCCGGAAGTGGCGGCGGCGGACAGCCAATGGGCGGGCGGGGGCGGGGCGCGGGGGCAGCATGGCGGCGGCGGGGACGCTGAGGCGCGGGTGGAGGCTGGCGCTGGGCGGCCGGACAAGGTACCGCTCCGCCGTGTCGGCGGCTCCGCTCGGCCCCCTCGGGGTTGGGGGGAACCGAACGTCCCCGCTGTGCGGCAGTGGGGTGGCGGTTGTGCGGGTGGGGGTTGGGCCGCTCGCCGGCGGTGGCGCGGTGGGGAGCCCTCTGAGGCTCCCCCTCTCCCCCCCTCTCCCCGAGGCAGCCGGTGTCCCGCTCCGCCGTGCCGAGGGGGAGCGCTGCCGAGGCCCCCGCCGGGTCCCGCCTGTGCAGTTGGCCTCCCGGTGCGGTGGGCCTCGTCCTTCTCCCAGCCGGGCCCGGCGGAGGGTGACCCCAGCGAGGGACAGGTCTTCCTCAGCGAGAGCTGCGTGAAGGTAGGGACCCCGGGGCGGGGGGGGCAGCTTGGGTGCCTCTGGGAGGGATTTCCAAACTGCCCGGACTGTCCTGGGCACATAGGGGAGCCATCTGAGCGTTTGGCAGATATTTTAATCCTCTTCGTTTTCTTTGCAGAGGCTGTTGGAGATCACAGAAGGCTCAGAGTTTCTCAGGCTGCAGGTGGAAGGAGGTGGCTGCTCCGGATTCCAGTACAAGTTTTCCTTGGACACAGTTATCAATTCAGATGACAGGCAAGGGCAGAGGGGTGTAGTGGTGGTCAAGTGTGACTGTTCTTTGCAAAGGTGACAGGAAGAGCGTGTGTGACACGATAGTATGTTGCATTGAAGGGAAGAAGCCTGTGAGATAAGGAAAGTGCTCAGGCTGTGCTTCTCTCTTGGGTCTGCAGCACAGTTAATGGTTAAATATGCTGCTTTTCTGCAGGGTGTTTGAACAAGGTGGTGCTCGTGTGGTCGTGGATGTGGACAGCCTGGCCTTTGTGAAAGGTTCCATGGTGGACTTCAGCCAGGAGCTGATTCGCAGCTCCTTCCAGGTGGTAAGCAACCCCCAGGCAGAGAAGGGTTGCTCATGTGGGACTTCCTTCTCTGTCAAATTCTGACTGGACTTCCTATGGATGGACATAGTCTGCAGACACTTCTGGCAGTCTTCAGAGGGTTTTTGCTTGTTCTTTTCTCAGCTTCTCCCTCTCATCTCCCTTACCTTGTAACACAGCTGTTACACATGACTTCAGCTGTGTACGTGCCTGCACTGAGCCTGTCTCTAAGACTTGTTGGCCTTCCCTTCAGAAACATGATTTAGCAGTGAGCATGCACACAGGAGCATCTCCAGCACCCTGTGAACCACCGGCCAGGTGGTTCTGGCTCGCCTACCCTGTCCTGAATGTAGAACCACTTAACTGCTTGTTTCTGCAAGAGATAGCTGTATATACGTGTGTGTTTATTGAAAGGTCTTACTGAAAAAAAAAAAAGTCTTTGAGATTGATTGGTACTACTTGTGCATTCCCACGTGGGTAGAATCTGGGTTCTTTCAGGCTACTGTTGCTTACCCCTTGTCGTCTAGCTGAATGGGACTCAGAGTCTTTCTCCTGTACACCTTCCAGTGTCACGGGCTCTCCACTCCCCAACTCACAGTGGGCTTTTCTAGGTAATTCACTGTTCTCTTAGCCAGCAGGCTTCTCTTAGTCCCAGGAACCTACAGTAGTTTTAATGTCAGTCCCTGGGCTGAAAGTTTTTACTTGTTCAGAGTAGGTGAAGCTAAAAAATGGAGGTAGGAAGAATTAATAGCTTTTTTGGTTTTATTTAAAAAAAAAAAATTTGTCTATATATAAAAATAAAATATACAGCCTTCCATTCCCCCAGTGCTATTTTAGGCTGTTTTTAAATCTCACTTGGAATTTTAGGTCATTCAGACTCTCAAATTTCATAGTGTGTCTGCTGCCTTCTCTTGCCAGCAGTAAGGGAAGTTCAGGTGACGCAGGCAGAGGAGGATCTGGAGTGCTACTTAAGGGTCCTCAAGTCCCTTTGACTTATTTGTCCAGGAATCTTTTCCATAACTTGCTTCACTGTTTAATCTCCATCTAATGTGCGTAGTTTGATGAAAAAAGTGAAATAGCTCGTTTCCTTTCTGAAACTCCCATGGAATGGGAAATCTAGAAGTTTCCAGAATAATATTTTCATTAGTTGATTTTTATAGTTTTTCTGTTTTTTTTCTATAGTTTTTTATCTGCCACTAGATGTCTTTTAAATCAAGGTGGTTCACCTGCTTCTGGGTGAAAGGAGAGACAGGGAAGCTATTTTTTGTTCCTGCTCTTGTGTTTTATCTGATCATAACCAAATTTTCTATGACTAGAGTCTTTGATGTGAGTGTGGGAGCACTACCTGACTTTGGTCTCAAGGAAACTGGTTATGGCAAACCATGAGCTTTTTAAGACTCTCTGCCACAGGCATTTTTAAGTTTCCCAAATGCCTTTCTACGCTAATCAGCAGTGCATACATACAGCAGTGATTTGCCTATTGATTTCTAGTGCTCAGAGAGTTGTTAGCCAGCTAGTTTCAGTTTCATCCATAGATGTTATAGGAGTTCATACGTGATCTGCCCTGACTTTGTCACATGGGGAATATGGATGGGATTTGGAGCAGCAGCTCTTTTGGTTTAGCCCTTTCCGTTTTCTGCAGCTGACAAGTTCTACCTAGTTATGTTGCTATCAGAGGGAGCTGGATGTAGCACTGTCCCGTTGTGTAAAAGGGAGCAAGAAAAATGTGATTAAAAGACTTGTTTTGGATGTTTTGGCCCTACCCTTATGCTCCCAGGTCTTGAATGTGATGTCAGCCAGAGCTGCCTCTGAAAAGTGTAAGGCCTAAAAGCTTGTGTAGGTAGAAGGTGTTAGATAAACTCAATTTCTTTCAGCTGGGATAAGTAATTAATGAAAGTTGGTGGGAGGAATTGCTTTCTGAACCAGAAAGTACAGATCTTTTCTTGATCCATTTCACACAGTCTGACCTTGATCAAGTCTCTTTTCGGAACTTTTGTGAGAAATAGAAATGCAGCAGTAGTTCTGGGGAGGTAGCAGACCAGCAGCTACCAAAGCTTTTTTCCCCTAAACTAAAGCCTGCCTTCGGCCCCTGTAAGCATGCAGCCTTCATCTTGGATTACAGTTCTTACTAAATGTGAATGTGTTGTGTGTTCAACCTAGCCAGGTTCCACCTGCCTTCGCTCACTCTACACAGATGAAGTAAATCAAGCAAGTGATGTCCATGTGGAGTGTCATCTCTTTCAGAGAATCTGCCTCTCCCAGGGACTGTACAGAGGATGAGGTTTTGGGTCCCCACCAGTGTTACTGGCAGCATTGCTGGGCTGATGGGGAAGCTTGCATGTGTGGCTTGTTCTGCCTGTGGTTCTGGCAGTACTGCTCTAACTGCACTAGGTGGACCCCTTACTCCTTGGGAGTTGCTGCGTTTAACTCATACATGCATTTCAACTTCTGTCAGGGGTGAGGCTGGATCTGCTCCATGCAGGACCTAGGCAGGAGCAAAAGTTTCTTTGCAGCTGCCTGTTTTGGAGGCAGGCTGGAGCTCAGTTCATCTAGTATTGCAGCAGTCTGGTCTCTAGATCAGAGAAACTGCTAGGAGCTGGAGGGGTTCCAGCTGTACAACACATTGCTCATGGACTCCTAGTCCTGCTTCCTGGGATCAGCTGTAATCTACTGGGCAAAGCTACCGGTCTTCCAGTTCCAGTAGGGCATGGGTGCAAAGAGCTATCTGTCACCTCCGGAGTCCTCCTGAGTCTTGAAGTAGTCTGTCAGTACATCAGAAATTGAAAACTTCTGTCCGGGTTAGGAAGTCAGCAAAGGGGGTTGTGTTAGCAGAGGGGGGTGAAGGTGACCTTAGTAAATTTTGTCTACGTAGGCAGAAAAGGCTAGATCCTGGCTCCTACAGAAGAAAAAAAAAAACAACTGTCAAGGTTTGCACACTGAATAGCCAAAGGGGACAAAGATAGCATCACGCTGTAGGCTGTGGGGCAAGACCAGCAGTGCCAAAAGAAGGGTGCAGAGGAATAGATGGGGAATTTGGTACTGCCTGGGCTGTGAGGGGTCTGTAGTGTGGAGATAGGTGGGAGCCCTTGTACTTAACCACCGAGAAAAAACAGGAGTACGGAGCCGGAGGTGCCGCCTTCGCTTCATGGCAAATGAGAAACTGCAGTGGAAAATCTTTCTCTGCTCCCACATGAAGAAGGAGGATTCTCTCAGTTCACCCACCTGACAAGGAATGAATGATCAAGGAAGATATTTATGGAAACCTACGTTAAGATGAAACTTCAAGGGAAAAGGGCACAATCATCAGTGTCACTGACGGGCGGGTAGAAGAGGATGGAATAGAAATACTCACTTTGGTGCAGGCTTGGAGCTCTGCAGGGACTTGTTAGTAGACAACCAGAACATCCTTAGGCTGTGACTCTTCTGTTCTTCAAATTAGGTATCTACCATCGCCTATTAACTCTGGGTCCCTCTTCCAGGCTTCAAGCCAGGCCATGGTAGAGAAATAGCAGATTTTTGTCATGCCCCTGTTCTTGTGGTCTAGGAATATGTATGAGAATGCCATGCTCACCTTGGTGGGTTTCTGTTTGCTATTACTTGCTACAAAGACTCAGCAGGGGGTAAGTGGCTCCTATAAGACCAATAGCCAGCCTAGGGTGGATGTTAGGGGAACAACTGGCCCTCCTGCCCCCAAATTCTCATCTGCAAAATTTCACTAAGCTTAGTCTTCTCCCTTGTGAAATTGTTCATCTGTATAGAGCTGTTGGGTGAGTCAGGAAGACAGCTAGGGCTAAGGAACCAATACCCCCCAGATGACACCCACTGGAACTTCTGCTTCCTCCACACAGTAGTGTAATTTCCTGCCGCTTTAGGGCTTGCCTGGATCCAGCACCTGGAGGAGGAATCACTGAATGATGGAGGAGGCAATAACAGGAAGGCAGAAGTACATGAAAGAAGGCTTCTCTAGTCTGTGTCCCACACTGTGAAGGCAAATGCTTTTGTATCAAGACTGTCTTCAGCCTTGCAAGTGTTTCAAGCATCTGCTGGCAGCTGGAAGTAAAAAAACTAGAGTGGTATAAACCCCACTGTTGACACCATTAGCTGGGACTGGCCAGAGGAGTTTACTGAATTCAGAACAGGTGTGCTGTATTTGCTGGATGAGTTGTGACAACACCTACTTGAGGACTGAACTGCACACTGTCTCCACTAGCAAACAGCAGTCAGATTTGTTGGCAGAGGGTGTGATAGGATGTGTACTGTTTTGATGCTTTGTTCTCTTTGCCTGTTTTCATGCACACCAGCCAAAGCTCTCGCCCAGTGTTCACCTTGCTTCTCTGGAATGGGGCGTAGCTGCTGGAGAGACTGGCAGCAGAGAAAGGGATAGCTTTGCTTAGTGGTGTTTGACAGGATTGTCAGCCAGCCTGGAAAAAGGAGATAGCGCATTGGTGAGAATAAACTGCAACCACCTGTATTGTATCAAGCTCCTTCATTTGGGTAATCTTTTTATTGTGTGTTGTTTGGTGGGTGTTAGGTTTTTGGTTTTTTGTTTGTTTGTTTGGGGTGTTTTGTTGTTTTTTTTTTTTTTTTTTTTTTTTTTTTCATTTTAAAGCAGGATGAATCCTTGAAACAAATGCTGTCAGAGGCTAGGTATAGGATTAATGTTGTGGTTTGGATCTTGCTGGGTTCTGAGGAATATGTTTGCTCTGCATGATTTCCAGGATTAGGCTGCAACTGGCTTTGATCTGTGCAGAGACCTGCCCAGGAAACAGCTCAGTAGATCATGGACTTGGGGTGGGTTTAGCATCCAGCCGTGGACAGAAACGCTGTGGTGAGGCAGCTGAAACTGTTCATGGCCGCGAGATGGGCCATTACTCCAAGGCTGTGATTCTTCACCCTGTGGGGAGCAGTTTGTGCGCAGTGCTTCCTGCCTCTGGCCTTCCCAGCACTTGTATGGCTCTTAATATTTCCTGCTTGAGCAATAAGAGTTTATGGCCCTAGTCTTTGTGGTTGATTAGAGCCCAAGTTTGTGCCCCTGTTTTAATCAGTGCTCATTTACCTTTGGCATCCTTCAGAGGAACAGAATGGTATGTCTTTCAGTTGCCATGGAAACAGTGAGACTAAATGCACATTTCCATGGCAACCTGCCATTATCTTCAGCTCTATCTGTGGGTCTCATTTTCTGACCATGGGGGTGGGGTGGTGAAAATGGAACTTCATCTCTTAAAAAAATAAAATTAAAAAAAAAAAAAGGTAAAATAAAGATGCTACCACCGCCATCATCACCACCCCCTTTCCTCCTCTGGCTAAGGCTTGGGGCTGAGAGAGGCCTGTGACTACTACTACCATCCCCCTGTGCTGGGGCTCTGAGGTATTCTCTTCAGCTCCTTCTCTCCTTCACCCTTCTAAAAATAGAGACATTCAGAACAATTTGATGACAGTGTTCCAGCACTTCTCTGAGCTCTTTGTTTCCTCAACTAACGCTCCCAGAAAAGGCCCTTGAAGTTAATTGAACTTTCCAATGGGTTCCAAAGGTCAGTGTGTCCCAGCTCCTTTTGGTCTGAAGGGCCAAGGGTTAATTATAGGGTCTAAGGCTCTGAGGAGAAGCCTTTGTCTGCTCGGACTGGAGGTACCAGGGCGCATTATGTTAACCTCAGGAGCGAGGGACCTTCTTGCAAGAGGGGCAGCACTGTTGTGCCCATCAGTTAGGGATCAAAGGCAATCTGTTTGTGTGCAACTCAGGGGATGTAAGGTGGAGAACCCAGGTGTTTGCTGTATGATGGGTCTTGCAGCCCCCCAGCCAGAAGTGCTCTTGGCCACTGCTAATACCTCTGCCTCCTTCAGCTACTGAGTCAGAAAAAGGACACAATTTGCTGTACTCTGAGCAATTGCACACAGCTGTTCCTTAAGCCTGTGTTCATTATTCTTGTTCTACCTGGCTTGACCTTTAGCTAATTCCTCTTATTCATGGCCTAATCTTGGTTACTAAGGGAAAAACCTTGCGTCTTCCTCTGTTCTAGCCTGGTACAATAGAGTTATCCATGGAGAGGATGTGGTAGAACTTTCCTTCTACATCTGCCCCACTAGCCTTTCACAGGTGCTGGGGCAGAGGATGATAAAGTTCCGTCTGCTCAGGAATTAGCATGGAGGCAGATGGGGTCTTCAGAACAGGCCAGCCAGGTGAGGCAGGTGCTGCTCAAGCACAACTCTTTTCCTTGCTGTAGTCTGCCACTGTACTGACTGCACACGACAAAGAGCTTTCACAGTCAGCCTGGGTTTGTGTTGTCTCATGAAGGGGACAACAAAGACCAGATAGCCCCGTACATTGCTTGAACTTGCAGGATTTCACCCTGGAAGAATCATTGCCTGAGCACACTGCCAGGGTTTTCTTGGGAGCTATTGCTTGGAAGACACTGAGAATGGTCTCTGAAATGTGGGGACCCCCCTCCTGAGCTAAAGTGCTAAGCACTGGGACAAACGCTGCGTGGTTTGCATGGGCAGAAGTTTGCTAGAGGATGTGCTGCTGATGCTAGAGCAGGCTGGCTGGGCTCCCTGGGGTGCCATGGCAGAGGGTATGGGGGAAGGTTTGCTGTCCGTGCTCCGTGTGTGAAGCGGTGGCTGTGCTCCAGCTGCTGTGGGGAGCTGACTTGGTGCACGGCAGCCAGAGAGCAGGGACAGCCTGGGCTCTTCCTGCTGAGGACCACTGCAGGCTGGCAAGCTTATGCCGTGGGCTAGAACCATAAGGAAGTGTCCCTGGGGGCTCAGTCGTAGCCCTGCTGCCATGGCTCGCACACGGGGGTGGCTTTAGGCTCTTCCCCTCATGTCCATAGCAGCTGAGCAGGCACTGACTGAGGGAGCCACATGACCCCTCATTCAGCTTCTTGGCACAGGGTCAGTTCTCATTCCCTTCACCTCTCCTTCACCTCCCTGCTTACTCATGCATGCCCGCCACAAATTTCAGACCTGGAAGATTCATGTTAAATATAGAAACTTTTCAGGGAAGAGCTAATAGCATTTGGAAAAGAGAATTCAGAAGCTACCTTTGGTGACAAAGGCGGAAATAATGGGGCGATGCTATCGTTAGCAGAACTTTATCTACCAGCACCTGCAAAAGCTTAATGGGGAGAGGGGAAGCAGTGGGACTGTGTGGCAGATATCTCGGCCTCTTAATAAAACACTTCCCCCTGCTGCCACTGTCCTATGTTCACAGATAACAGGCACAGGCCAGAAATAGGACTGCCGTGGTGAAAGAAGTTAGTTAATCCTCTTCAAGCTAAGCAAAAATGTACCAGTGAATAGCCAATTCACAGGGCAGAGCTGAATTACACAGGAGAAAATTGTGTCTGTGAATCAAATGGAGTTCCAGCGCTGTGAGAGAGTGAAGACAAAACAGGCTGGTGTGGGCGAAGGGGAAATAGCCCAGAGAGATGCTCAGGGTGGAAGGCAACAGCAGGTATTTGCTGAGCCTCCCCCAGCTCCACTTCAGAAGCACAGGTTTGTGGATGGATGTGGCTGTGAAGGTGGGAGGGCACATACAGCTGTCCAGGTGTTGTAAGAGGCAAAAGAACCTGATGAAACCTGGGAGTCTCTGAGAAGACAAGTATTGGTGAAGGGATGGAGTGTAGTGCATGTAGGAAAAAAGCAAATGGGATAGAGGAACAAGGAGTGGGCAGCTGGAGGAACGGGATGCAAAGGCAGAGCAGAGCATGTGCCCATGCACGCTGGGCAGCTGTCCTGCCGAGATACAGCCGTGGGGATGTCAGATCTGTGAAGCCACTGACCCACCATGCGCTGGCTGAACTCTGGATGGTGACACCTGTGGGGAAGGAGCCTTAGCAAACAAAGTGCCAATGTTTCAGAGATGAAAACCAGATCCACCAAAGGACTGGAAAATTACCTGCATTTCAAGGACTGGTCCCCGCTGGCCTGGAGAAAAGGCAGCAGATCTGAAAAGCAAGTATGCCCAGAAAGCCTCAGTCAATGTGTTACATGCTTAGGAGCGTGGGCTAGTTCTCCAGCTGAGTAAAGGCCCTTGTTGTAAGGAGTTGAGGAGCAGACTTCTGCTGATTGAAAATGCCCTATTCTACAATAAGCTGGGCGTTGCGGACTGATGGCCTCTGATCTGTGCTGGGAGTGATAATATTACAGGGCAAATGAGACCACTAGAAGTGTCACATTGGAAGGGCTTCCTAAAGACTAAGGCTTGGGGGGAAAAGGGAAGTCTTAGACCCCTGGGGCTGGTCCAAAAACAGAGTAGCTCAGCAGAAGGACAGCTTATTGAGAGACTTGTTTGTCTCAAGACAAAATGAGGTCACACCTTGCACACTGTATGCAATGCTGGGCATAGAGACGTCTCACTGCTCGAGTTCCTCACCCAATGCTCAGGTGTGAAGGGCTCACTATGCATGATGCAGCAAGCGTCTTCTGGCCCAGGGGAACCTGATCGCATCTTCCCAGGGATGCTGATTTGTGTCGCTTCCTTTGGAAGGACTGTGCTCTCTTTGCCCCCTCCCCTCCTGTTCACGTTTTCCAGATGCATTTGATTTATACATACTCATTCCCTTCCTCACAGGAATGAGTTTTGGTGCGTGTCGGTTGCGTGAGAGAAAAATTGATAGAGCAGGCTGCAGAGCAAAGCAGCTGGGATCTTTCTTAGGAAAGCCGCAGTCGTTAATTATAGGAGTATAACTAAACCCTGGCTCAGGCAAAAAGCATTTTGTAGATCTCCTTCCTTTCTTTTGTACCTCCCTGCGCAAGTTGTCACATCAAAGCCGGGATTCAGGAACAAGTCAACACGACACCCACCTTTTTGAATAAAAATGGGATGCCAAGTGCCAGGGAGCAGCTCCCTTTCTGGTTCCCTTCTTTCCCAACCCGGTATGAGGGGCTCTGCACCTCTCCCCGGCGAGGGCTGCAGGCAGCTCTTGTCTGTCCCTTGGGTGTGCTCCCGCTTCTTCCCTGCCTCAGGCAGCTCGGTGAGTCAGCTGCTGCTTTACCAAAGCCTCTCAGGTCTGATCTGAGCACCAGCCTCCTCTCCCCTGCTCAGGTCTGTGCAGCTCGGCCAGTACTTTGGGATGGCAGGTTCCCCAGGGGCCCGTTTTATTAGCAGAGTCACTGCAGAGCTGGGTATTTCAGTCCCAAGCAGCTTCATGTGTGCATCACAGGCAGAGCCAGCAGCACTGGCAAGGATTTTCTCTGTATGAATTTACCCCAAGTGAAAGAGAGTCGGGGAAGAGAGGGAAGAAACATAACCTGGACGTCCTTAAAAACCCAATACTCCCTATTTGTGTGCCTTTCCACTGTGTTTCTGGCTGATGATCCCAGTACAGGCCGTGCTATTGCCCTGTTTCAGAGACTGCCTACACAGATAACCTCATCTTAACATTGCTGGCTTGCTCGCAACCTTTGCTCATGTCACCTCATGATCTGTAATACCAAGATAAGAATGCTTGCCGCAGCAGGAGTCTGCCTGCATTAAC